CTTCCCTGGTGGCACAGTGGTTGACTCTGCCTGCCGATGCAGGGGACATGGGTTCGTGCCCTGGTCCGGGAAGATCCCACATGCCGTGGAACGGCTGGGCCTGTGAGCCGCCGCGGGGGCGCGTGGGCCCCGGGGCCTGGTGCCCCAAAAAAAAAAAAAAAAGAAAGAAAGAAAACAAAAATAAAGCAGGGCCTTCCCTGGTGGTGCAGTGGTTAAGAATCCGCCTGCCAATACAGGGCACACAGGGTCGAGCCCTGGTCTGGGAAGATCCCGCATGCCGTGGAGCAGCTAAGCCCATGCACCACAACTTCTGAGCCTGCTCTCTCGAGCCCGCGAGCCACAAATACTGAAGCCCACGTGCCACAACTGCTGAAGCCTGCGCGCATAGCGCCTGTGCTACGCAACAAGAGAAGCCACCACAATGAGAAGCCCGCTCACTGCAACAAAGAGTAGCCCCCGCTCGCAGCAACTAGAGAAAGCCCACGCACAATGAAGACCCGACGCAGCCAAAAATAAAATAAATACATTAAAAAAAAAGAAAAAGAAAGCAGAAGTGTCGATATTTATGACAATTCCAGACCAGAAGTGATGAAATGAGATTAAAAGGGACATTCAGTAACGATAATCTCTGAAAATATGATAGCCATAAACCTGTACATGTAAGCAATATAGCAATAAAATACATAAAGCAAAAATTCCTAGAGATACTAGCAGAGCTTGATAAAACCAAAACTATACCTGAAGATTCAACATACCTCTTTGATATATCAAGTAGATATAAAAAATTTTTGAGAATTTGAATAATAAAAACAAGTCATTCATATATATATATATATATATATATATATATATATGGTGGCATATAGTGCGAGTCACTCAATCTTTCTGTACTTCAGATTCCTTTCTCATAGGGTTGTGGTGAGGATTAAATGAGATAGTTCCTGTAAAGAGTACTTGCCACATATGAGATCCTCAATAAAGCTCTTAGTTATCTAACTCTACCTTTCACATTATTCTCTTAGGTTCAAGGGACACCACAAACTGATCATGTTCTTGACCATTAAAAAAATTTTTTTCCAAGATGTTATTGCCCATATTTCAATAAACTAGAAACATAATAAAAAGTTAACCGTGTATACACTAGGAAGCTTTTTATAATAAACACTGAAATAAAAACCAGTTACAAACGATCTAGAAATTAACAAAATGAAGAATATTTGACAACAAATGAGACACAACAAAAGAAGAATTCAGAGGAAAACTTATAGTCTTTATAATTTAAAAAAAAAATCTCAAATAAGAGATTTAAGAAACCAGAAAGTAAAGTAAACCAAAAGAAAATGGGAAGTGGGAATAAAGATAAAAGACAAAAGCTGTGTTTGATTAACTAAGGAACAATTTAAAAACCAGTCTAAAGAATACATAAGGCCAATATCCGATTTCTTGAAAATTCCAACAGAAATAGATTAAAGCATAAAAACACCCTTAAGCTTATATTTAAAACAGGGCATTTAAACCTCCACAAGTATTTCTCTACATAATCTCTCCTAATGACATAATAGCTCCGGGCAATACAGGAGGAAGGTGAGGGTGGCGACAAACCACCCTGGAAAGCCTGGAAAGAATAATATGATTTTTAACTCTATTTCTTTCATATTTGTATGAATCAAAAGTCAAGAGTGAAAACAGTATTTTCCAAAATAAGAATACTGGGTTATCACTTCTATACATTCTTTATTTACCTTTATTTTTACTAAGATACTGTTGACAGACTGTGCATGTTGAGTTGTTTTTCTATGTAGTGGTGATTCACAATCTTCTCCCTTCTCTTGTAACCAAGGGCATATGGGGGACACCACCAGGGCAAAAGCAAATTTCTTGTGCCACCTATACTGGTATTTAGAGGCTTTCTCAACAAACTGGCTCACATTTACTCTACAGTTAAAAACAATTATTTAAAATTAATTTTACATCCTCTTAAGGGATTTAAAATCTTTTTAAAGATTCAAAACTAATTTTACATTCCTTTAAGGATTTTAAATCGTTTTAAGATTTAAAACCCAAACTTCAAGTTGTTGTTGTTGTTGTTGTTGTTTTTGGTGGAGTAGGGGGGGCAGCGTGCACCACTCAGCATGCAGGATCATAGTTCCCTGACCAGGGATCAAACCCGTGACCCTCTGCGGTGGAAGCATGGAGTCTTAACCACTGGACTTTGAGGAATTCCCAAGAAAAGTTTCTTTTTCCCCTTGGTCATAGAGGTCTAGTTAGCCTCCTCTGCATTCTCCCTTTGCATACACTGCCTTTATCCTGTCAGGGACTACCTGCAGTTTTGTTTTTTTTTTTTTTTTGCTGTACTCGCGGGCCTCTCACTGCTGCGGCCCCTCCCGTTGCGGAGCACAGGCTCCAGACGCACAGGCCCAGCGGCCACAGCCCACGGGCCCAGTCGCTCCGCGACACGTGGGATCCTCCCGGACCGGGGCACGAACCCCCGCCCCCTGCACCAGCAGGCGGACTCCCAACCACTGCGCCACCAGGGAAGCCCTACCTGCAGTTTTTACTGCTCTCCACAATTTGACAAAGAGGAGGCAAGGACCAGTAACCCCGTGCACCCTCTCTTCTATAAATCCATGCATGAAAAAATGAGGCCCTATGGAAATTTATTTTACTCAACACCCCAAGTTGGAAATTACTTCTAAATTATCCACATATAAAGTTTAGGCAAGCTTTTTCCAAGAATAAACTTTTAGTAAAGTATACATATTTTAAGACTCTAAAGTCAACATACAAGCCAAAAAAATCTTAAGCAATACAGTAGTTCAAATATTAGCTGAATAGCCTGAATTTCTTACTCAGTGAGTTTCTATACTTTTCTTCCATTAAAAAATAAAGCCAGGGACTTCCCTGATGGTCCAGTGGTTAAGATTCCTCGCTCCCAATGCAGGGGGCCTGGGTTCGATCCCTGGTCAGGGAACTAGATCGTGCATGCTGCAACTAAAGATCCTGCAGGCGGCAATGAAGATCCTGCGTGCTGCAGCTAATACCCAGTGCAGCCAAATAAATAAAGTTTTTTTAAATTTTTCATATTCATTTTTGGCTGTGTTGGGTCTTTGTTGCTGCACGTGGTCTATCTCTTGTTGTGGTGAGCAGGAGCTACTCTTCATTGCAGTGCCCGGGCTTCTCACTGCAGTGGCTTCTCTTGTTGCGGAGCACGGGCTCTAGGCACGCGGGCTTCAGTAGTTGCAGCATGCAGGCTCAGTAGTTGTGGCTCATGGACTCTAGAGCACAGGCTCACTAGTTGTGACGCATGGGCTTAGTTGCTCCACGGCATGTGGGATCTTCCTGGACCAGGGATCAAACCCATGTCCCCTGCATCGGCAGGCGAATTCTTAACCACTGCGTCACCAGGGAAGTCCCATAAATAAATATTTTTTTAAATAAATAAAAACAGGGCTTCCCTGGTGGCGCAGTGGTTGAGAGTCCGCCTGCCGATGCAGGGGACACGGGTTCGTGCCCTGGTCCAGGAAGATCCCACATGCCGCAGAGAAGCTGGGCTTGTGAGCCATGGCCGCTGAGCCTGCGCGTCCGGAGCCTGTGCTCCGCAACGGGAGAGGCCACAACAGTGAGGGGCCCGCGTACCAAAAAAATAATTTTAAAAAACCAAAAACCAAAAAACTTAATTTGAATAATAAAGGGTCATAGAGTGAGGAATGTAGTGCTCCAACCACAGTGTTATGAATGTCATTTTCATCTCTTCTATAATAATGTAAAAAGTGTTTAAAAAGTAAAAGTTTTAGGGATTTCCAAGCATTACTAAGATTAAATAAGTTCCCTCCAGATAAAAATTCCAAAATAAATAACTTCCACTCCCAATGGAACAAAATATAATTGCAGAGCTTTGGTAATGAACCTTATCAAGTGACAGCAATAAGTTCTATAGTGGTTGCACTTTCTGATTAGTCAAAATTATCTTTGAAAACTCACTCATGTAGTAGGACTCATGTCTTTGGAAGCTCAATGTTAATGTCTTAGGCTTCTTTTTGCATTTAGGCTATGGACACCCTGCTCTGAGTCATGGAGGTCATAAGCTGATGCAGCTGGGTGGATGCAAGCAGGAAAGACAATGGAAAAAGAGATTTCTTGCCCCCGCCTCCATACGGTACAATTCCAGTACGCGTATATGGCAGGACTGAATTGTGTCCAGCTGATTTTTAGTCCTTAAATAAAACAATATAATTTGGAGTATTTAGTAGCTGAAGATCTGCAGTTTTTGATCTGCAGTTTCCACTTGAGGGAAAAAAAATACAAACGATAAGAACTGTTAGGTGTAAGTAAAGAAATAGCAATTTTTATGAAATGTAAATCTCAAAAGTTGCCATAGCCATCTTAACTTCCGACCCAAAGGGGTACAATTTGAAAACAGCAGGAGAATTAACTACATGCATTTTACTACACAGATCAATACATATGACCTTTGCTTCATCACTTATTCATCATCCCCTGGGTATGAAAAATATTAACTCAGGATTCCCTTCCACAAGCACTTTACAAGACTTCTGCTCGGCTGAAAAATGGAGTTGAAAGAAACAAACAAAAACATATAATTTAATTGGAGCCATGATATCCACACATGAAAGGACTAACACATAAAACAACACACAATAACCTGGAGTTAATTTAGTGTAAAGAAAGGACCTGTTGTTTCTTATTATTGCACATCTCCCATTGAAGGTGTTCAATAAATTCTACCACCTTAGGAGATGACTTTTAAAGTAAGTGTAATGAAAAAATAGGCACTTTTGTTCTTTAAATATTCGTTCATTCACATCCATTCCCCCGCCCTCCACCCCTCTCTCTCTGGCTGTGGGATGGCCAGAGAGGAAGGAATACTAAAAGTGAAACGCTACACTGAATTGACCAGAAAAACTTGGTAAATAACTGAGTGAGAAAGTGAAAACTGAGATGAGTTAGTGATGAATCCAAGAAGGTGCTTAGCCACTTACCCAGAGATTTACTTAATGAGAATGGATCGCAGGTTTCCACAGGTCATTCCACTGCCAGTAAGAGAGTCGTGAACCTTGGGTCCCTTTTTGCACTAGTCAACAGTCACCCTCACCTACACGCGGAGTACATATTTGGCACTCAACAAATCTTGATTGAATGAAAACCTATCTCATTCATACTGGTACCCAACCACAGAGTTATGGGCCCACAAATTCCTTCCAAAATGCCTTTAACCCAAAGAGCTGAGAAAGCAGAGTCGAAAGCTCTGGGCATCTCTGTAAGGACTGGGAATGATCAAGGGCCAATGAAGCCTACAGTAACCCGACTTCCCAAAGAAAGCTTAGGGGGACTGACCTACAGCTAATAGGCTTCGGCTTCGCCAGGACGTACCCGACAGGCCGCAGGCCGCAGGTCCACAGCCTCCCACCCGGGGGCGCTGAGAGATCCGGGGGTATCCCCCCTAAAGTTAGTACCTGTGAAGCTGCGACACAGAGAGTGGCTCGGGGCTCTCATTACGGAGGCCGGGGCCTGGGGCCGGCCAGCTGCGCCTCCTGGCTGAGAGCTCCGCGCTCCGGAGCTGCACTGACAGCACGGGTCGCAGATAATACCTCACGCCCCAGGAGCCTCGTGGCTCGCAGGCCCCGGGAGTTTCGTTCCCAAGACTGCGCGAGTTGTCGCACTCACGTCTACAGGCGCTCTTCAGGGCTTCCCTCACAGCTCAAGTGATCACTCCTGCCTTCAGCCCAGCAGCCGGTCGCTTCCCGGCGCCGCCATCGTTACTGTTTGTTTTCATCCGCTTCGGTGACGGCGGTGGGAGGAAGAGGGCTATGGGGGAAATACAGCTATCTAACCTCAGCCGCCCTTTCGGCACAGTATGGATGACCTACTTAATCTCTTTCCTCTTTGACGTTCCCATAAAAACTGGTTTCCTTACCATGTAGGTCTGATTCACCAATCTCTTCAAGCGTCTCAGAAGACAAAGGCGTAAAGAGGCGGTCTTTGAAAGAGCGTGAACCTTTGGGCCGTGTGTGGAATGTGCGCCGGCGAATCGCAGGTTGCGGCGGCAGCTGCAGTGAGGACACGGCTTGGGGCGGGCGGTGACGCGAGAGGGCGGTGCCTACAGAGAGTGCCGTGGCGGCTTGTGCTCGGCCGCCGGTTCCGGAGGAGGGCCGGACTCGGCTGGGTGGGTGGGAAGTGCGGCTGGTAATCTGGCAGCCGCCGAGAGGTGGGTGAGCGGCCTCGGCTGACTTTGAGTGGCCGGGGCAATCACACTTCCGTATTCATTTCTAAGACATCTTTTTAAAAGCCTTAGAGGTGGAGTGTCCTCTCAGCCCTAGCTCTCCCAGCCTCTTCTTTTGCGCCTTCCTTCCAACCTATCTGGTCTTCCCTACTTCCTTGCCCTCAGCCTCACGATTTGGATTTCTTGGGGTGAGGGGAAACGCTTTTGTTACAACACAGAATCTCCCGTCTACCAGCCTGGGTCGTGGGCGGTTTTTTGCCCCTTCTTCCCTTGTTAGACTAGTTTGAACAACGACACTCCTCCCTCCCCACCCCCATCTCTTACCCCTTACTTATCAGGTGGAGCCAGAGGGCTTTGGGTAATGAATCCTGCCGTGACTAATCCCTGTCCTGGGTAGCTATGACTTACGTCAGCTGCTTCGTGGCCTGTATAGTTAGGAGCAGACCTCTTTTACTTTGTGGATAATTATGCCATCACCTCCATTAATCTTTTGTTCTTCCCAATGCAAATGCCAGGCATTAAATGAGCCACCAAAATTCAGCTCCCATTCTCCTTCATACCAAAGCAAGCCTGTTGTATTGCCATGAGTTAGTGGAGAAAAACCGAGTTACAGTTATAGCACCTTTTTTTTTTTTTTTGGTACGCGGGCCTCTCCCTGTTTTGGCCTCTCCCGCTGCGGAGCACAGGCTCCGGACGCGCAGGCTCAGCGGCCATGGCTCACGGGCCCAGCCGCTCCGCCACATGCGGGATCTTCCCGGACCGGGGCACGAACCCGCGTCCCCTGCATCTGCAGGTGGACCCTCAACCACTGCGCCACCAGGGAAGCCCTGATGTGGATGATTTTTAAGGTCTTTATTGAATTTGTTACAATACTGCTTCTGGTTTTTTTTGTTTTTGTTTTTTTATGTTTTTGGTTTTTTGGCCGCAAGGCATGTCGGATCTTAGCTCCTCCACCAGGGATCAAACCCGCACCCCCTGCCTTGGAAGGCGAAGTCTTAACCACTGGACCGCCAGGGAAGCCCCTGAATCACTTTAAAGTCTTTGGTAGGTTTCTAATGTTTTTTGTTTTTTTCTTTAACCTTTACAGAGAGAAGATTATAAATGCCAGAACCATTTAAATGATGGTTAGCTGTTGAATTCTGACACTTCCTTAAATACCTTCTTGCACCAACATCTTCAGTGGGAAGAGTTCAGGAAAAGTAGCAGAGGGAAGGCGAGACAACAGTTACATGTACCATGGCTATACCAATAACAGTACTTGACTGTGATCTCTTGCTATATGGCCGAGGTCACCGCACATTGGACCGCTTTAAGCTGGATGATGTGACAGATGAATACTTGATGTCCATGTATGGGTTTCCTCGACAGTTCATTTATTACTTGGTGGAGCTCTTGGGGGCCAGTCTTTCTAGACCTACTCAGAGATCCAGGGCTATTAGCCCAGAGACACAGATCCTTGCAGCACTGGGCTTCTATACCTCAGGTTCCTTCCAGACTCGGATGGGAGATACTATTGGAATCAGTCAGGCATCTATGAGTCGATGTGTTGCCAATGTCACCGAAGCGCTTGTGGAAAGAGCTTCGCAGTTCATCCGCTTTCCAGCTGATGACGCCTCCGTGCAGGCTCTGAAGGATGAATTCTATGGGTTGGCAGGGATGCCAGGGGTCATAGGGGTGGTTGACTGTGTCCATGTGGCAATCAAGGCACCAAATGCTGAAGACCTTTCCTATGTGAACCGCAAAGGTCTTCATTCTTTAAACTGCCTCATGGTGTGTGACATCAGAGGGGCACTGATGACTGTGGAGACAAACTGGCCGGGGAGCCTCCAGGACTGTGCTGTACTGCAGCAGTCTTCTCTCAGCAGTCAGTTCGAAGCTGGGATGCACAAAGAGAGCTGGCTGCTTGGTAAGTCTGCAGGTGTAAATGCTTCATTTTTGAAACTATAAAAAAAAAGTTTGGGCAGAGTAGAATGAAATATAGGGGTCTATAGACCTGAGATTCAGTCCTGTTCTGTTTTAAGCACGACCTCAGATGAGAACTCTCTGAGCCTTAATTTTTTTTTTTTTTTTAAGCAGGACTGAAACAGAAGTAATGTCTTTTTTTTTTTTTTTAAGCCTTTATTGAATTTGTTACAGTATTGCTTCTGTTTCATGTTTTGGGTTTTTGGCCTCTAGGCATGTGAGATCTTAGCTCCCTGACCAGGGATGTAACCTGCACCCTCTGATTAGAAAGTAGAGTCTTAACCACTGGACCACCAGGGAAATCCCCAGCCTTAATTTTTTTAAATCAACATTTAAAGGACACTTGTTAACATTTAAAAACATACAATTTGACCCAGCTCTTCTTGGAGGTACATGTTCAGAAATATGTAAAACAAAATTACAGGCATTTGCATCGCAGCAGTGTTTTGTACCCACAAACAACAATAGCAACGACAACCCTACAAAAGCATTCCCCTTATATAGCCAAGATACTTATCAATGCAGATCTGGTTAAATATAGTACATCCATACAATTGAGCCTTAATTTTTATCATCTGTAAAATGGTGAAAATAATGCTAAGGGCAGTAATACCTATTGTTAGGATTAGGGAATATATATGAAAGTTCACTCTAAAGTATTGTGAAAATGCATTATTTTTGCCATTGGTGATTGTCACCATGATATCTGTATGAAAATGATAGTAGACAGTGCATTTATTCAGTTCTTATGGAAACTCACTTCATAGATCTGTTTGCCTGAGTGCCCTCGGAAAGCCTGGCTTAATGATCTGAGTAGGACAAAAACCTATTCAGTACTGAGCAGTGCAAACTGATGTGACTGTAGAGCTGGGAGGAATACAGTTAGTTAACAGTGATAAAACCCTCGAGCCTGGCAGCTTTTTTGTTGTCTTTTTTTTTTTAAAAAAAGAACCATTCTATGTAAGCAATAGGACAAGGGTTATCTTGTACACAACATGTTATGTGGGAGATGAAGGCACATTAAGGATTGGAAGACCTCTCTTTAAGGCCACTAATCATGTCTGCACTGCACATGTTCATAACACAGTGTTTTACATGTAATAAACACTCAGGAATTTTTCTCTTTAATGTGCTGATTGGCAGTTAAAGAAAAACCTCCCCTTGGGACTTCCCTGGCGGTCCAGTGGTTAAAACTGCACGCTTCCACTGCAGGGGGCACAGGTTTGATCCCTAGTCGGGGAACTAAGATCCCACACGGCACACGGGGCAGCCAAAAAAAAAGAACCCTCCCACCCCTGCCCAGTGTTCCAGGTGAGGAGGAGAGACTGCTGTCACACTGATTGGTTTAGAGCTGCCAGGGTACCATGAGTAACATCTTGGAACTTAACTGATTTTCTTCAGTTGTTGCTTCTTTTTTTTTTTTTTTTTTTTTTTGCGGTACGCCGGCCTCTCACTGTTGTGGCCTCTCCCGTTGCGGAGCACAGGCTCTGGACGCACAGGCTCAGCGGCCATGGCTCACGGGCCCAGCCGCTCCACGGCATGTGGGATCTTCCCGGACCGGGGCACGAACCCATGTCCCTTGCATCGGCAGGCGGACTCTCAACCGTTGCACCACCAGGGAAGCCCCCAGTTGTTTCTTCTACACACTGTTGTCAGTGCCCCACCTTCTCGTTACCCTAGTGGAAATTTGTCTTAATCCCACCTTTTGCCTACTCTGAATTTTCAAATTCCATTTTCATACAACTCACACCAAGAAGTGAAGGGAAGACTGTTTGCAAGTGTCTCATCCAACTACTTCTTCCACAGCTGGGGAAGTACTTGGGTTCCAAGCTGATTTCTTATGAAATCACTTTGGTACCCTAACTCTAAAGCCAGCTAAGGGGACTTCCCTGGTGGCGCAGTGGCTAAGAATCCGCCTGCCAATGCAGGAGACACGGGTTCGAGCCCTGGTCCGGGAAGATCCCACATGCCGCGGAGCGACTAAACCCATATGCCACAACTACTGAGCCTGCACTCTAAAGCCCGCGAGCCACAACTACCGAGCCTGCATGCTGCAACTACTGAAGCCTACACGCCTAGAGCCCATGCTCTGCAAAGAGAAGCCACTGCAATGAGAAGCCCCCGTACTGCAACGAAGAGTAGCTCCCACTTGCCGCAAATAGAGAAAGCTTGCGCTCAGCAACGAAAATCCAACGCAGCCAAAACAAAAAAAGAAAAAAAAAAGAAGATGGTTGATTTTATCTTAAGAATACCATCAGATTTGTAGAATGGTACTAGATTTGCCAAACCTAGAACTAGCTGTGATTCCCCCTTGTTTTTTTTGGTTTGTTTGTTTAGCATATTTTCATCTTGGGTGTCATCCCTTCATGTCCTCATTCTCGTATGCCCCTTCAGAGGGCATCACCTAATTCCTCTTCTCTAAATGTACCTGCTCCTACAAACAATTCAGCCTGAGTTATTTCTTCAGCTCTTGGGCTAGTCTTGTTAAGCAGCTTTGGGTAAGATCTGCCAAAATGTCTCTTGGATGACTGATCATGTAAGCAATTGTAGTCTGTTTAGGAATTCTGTTCCTAATCCCCTCCTGAGTGTCTGTCTGCCAGTGGTGCTTGGATTATAACCAATTAATGATGATGCAGCATTTTATAAGAGGTTTACATTAACTAGCTTGTCTTGTATGTCTTCCCAATTAAGGCTCATACTGTTTCTTAAGAGACGTTTAACAAATATCTAGTATCCCTTTGTTTTGCTAGTCATCTTAAATGTTTTTCTTATTCTCTTTTACAGCATTATACCATTGTTTTAATGACTTTGAGTCTGACATTATTAGCATTTAGTGACTAGCTCCTTCCTCTTCCTGTGCCTAACATATCAA